GTAACAAACTGCCTTTTCAATGGCAATTGGCTCCTCATACACTGCCCTGACCACACCTCGAATGTTCTACCAGTGCACCCGTAACAACACCCCTTCCTTTATCCATCCCTTTCCCACACTTCTCTGTACCAGGCACTGTCCCAAGTGCTTTAGAAACATCCCATGTCATCCCCGCAGCAGCCCAATGAGGTAGGCACTGTCGGCATCCCTACATTAGAGACGGGGTAACCGAAGCACAGAATGGTTAAGTCCCTTGCCTAGGGACACACAGCTAGGAAGTGCTGAGCTGGGATTCCAACCCAGCACTCAGGCTCCAGGGTCCTTGCTCTTAGTATGCTGCTATGTCACTCTCATATCTGGCCATATCTGGACTAATATCAAAGAAGAGATTAAGCTCAGCTCCCACATTCCTCATGTGTGAGGCGTTAGGGGAGCCGTCGCCCTCCTGCCTGAGGCACATGCCGTGCAGCTGGGGTCTCAGGGTGTTTCTCCTCCCCACGCAGGCTGGGGCCAACGGGGCTCTGCTGCTCCAAGGCCAAGGCCAAATCTGGATCGCGCCCCTCTGCAGAACCAGACCTGTAGTGCCTTTTCTCTATACCCGTCCCCACCCACCTCGGCCCGGGACAAGGATTTCCAAAGACACCCTCGATATCCGTATTTCAGAAGAACTCACCCCAAGCTCTGGAAGCAGCGAGAGTGGCCAGGAACAGAGCACAGAGCCACATTGTGGAAGGGCAGCAGCTCCCAGGGCCTGGGAGATCTTGATGCCCCTCAGAGATGCTGCGCCTTCCTGCCCCAGAGCCTGAGCCCCCGCAGCCCAGTGATCTATTCAGGGATAACAGGAAAGCTCTTTGCACTTCCACACGTCCCCTCTGGCATTTATTGGAACCTCCAAGCCACGCCCACTCAGTTTAGCCCCTTTTATGTAAACGGTCCAGACTGAACTCTGAGATTACACTTAGCCACTAACTTGCCAAACAACTTGTTACATAAGGGTTTCTCCTTTGTGGGACTCTAACCTTAGTGGGCTGGGAGCTTCCCAAAGGAGGAACAAGTAGGCAGATGCCTTCAGGCAAGGCGGAGCTTCAGTGTCGGGTCCCCAGAACAGGCTCAGAAATATTCACAGCAACTCACAGCCCCACAACTGCTCAGCTGGGCAACTTAGGACACATCTCTTAGCTTCCCTGGCCTTGTATTTCACAGAGTTCTAGCCTCTCAAGTTTGGAAGCGATTTTAAATTCCATCTAGTCTCCTTTCTGATGCCTAAAGTTACTTTACAATTTTCCTGCCAATTGACCCAGCCTCTTGTATCAGAGAACTCATTACCTCTCAAAGCAGGGACTTTTGGACAGAAGGAAAAATAAACTCCATCTCTCCACAGTCCCTGGCTGGCTATAACCACCCATCCATGCATCCATTCAGTCTTTGAACATTTACCACAACGCCCGACACGTGGCTGGGTGTCATGGATACACAGGTAAACTCAAGACATGGGTAACCTTACCAAGGAGCTCACCATTAGTTGATAAGACAGATGTGTGTGTGGTGGGGGGGTTGCGATGCCTGGGAAAGCACCAAACTGGGGGATACAAAGTGCTCTGGGTACACCTGGGAAAGTGTCATCTACAAACTGCTGGGGACACAAGGGAGACGCTCAAAGCCTCTTTCATGGGATCATCAAATGTCCAACAATACGGAATTCGTTTAACATACTCTGGTACAGCCAGCTAAGGACGTACTATGTACTCACTCAAAGTAGTCATGCGCATGTCTATTTATTGACAAGGAGAGACAGTCACAGTGTAGTGCGAAAGGGGCAAGAACAGGTGATAAAACTGTTGTGCCTGCTTTGGGAAACGGTTTGACAGTTCCTCGAAAAGTTAAGCACAGAGGTAGGACGTGACCCAGCAATGCTACTCCTAGATAATTTCTCAAGAAAATTGAAAATGTGTTCATACAAAACTGGTAGTCAAATAATAGTATTATTCATAATAGCTAAGAAGTGGAAACACCCAAATCTGATGATGAATGGATAAATAAAATGAGGTCTATCCACAGAGTGAAATATTATTCGGCCATGAAAAGAACATGCTATAATGTGGATAAAACTTATAAATATGCTAAGTGAAAGAAGCCAGGCACAAAAGATACATATTGCGTGACTATTTTTTACATGAAATTTCCAGAACAGACAAGTCCATGGAGACAGAACACGGATTAGCGGTTGCCAGGGGCCGGGGAAGAGGGAAATGAGGGGGTGCCGAGTGACTGCTAATGGGCATCTGGTTTCTTTCTGGGGCGGCAAAAATGTTCTGGGATTAGATAGTGGGGATGTTTGAAAACTTTATGATTATGCAAAAGAAAAATCTCACTGAATTATACATTTTAAAAAGGTGAATTTTATGGTATGTGAATTATATGTCTCTGAAATAAATATATTTTTAAAAATCTAGTTATGTATAATGTGATCCCATTTTAGTAGTACTATGAATCTTTATTTGCATAGGGAAAACTATGGAAGGTTATACATCTAATTAGTATTACAACCATTTCCTGGCTGTAATATTGTATTGTTACTTATTTGTATTTTCCACCTTTACTCATTCATACATTCTCTTCAAAATGTTTACTGAGTGCTTACTGCATGGCAAACACTGAGAGTTTTGTGTGCAGGATCTCC